GTGAATATGCGTTTCCTCCGGCCCGTTTTGGGGTGCCTGTGGCCTCAGTGTCTAGCTCAGGCCCACTTAGCGGCGCCAAGTGCAGACCCTGCAAGCCCGTATGTACTGGATCTTGTGTTGGGCCCGTCATGGCTAGGCTTGATAAAGGGTGGAGCTGGACCAAGTGGGCTGGAAACACACTTGAGCTTTGCGATGCACACAGTAAGTGGGGAAATGGGTGGGAAAAAATGTTCGATAAAGTTGCCGGGGAAAAATTGGCTTCTGCAAGGAAGAAAGTTTGGGCTTTGAATATGGACCAATGCATTGATGGATTTGATAGAATGAAGAGACGGTCGGCCCACTGGCTTGGGCCTGCACCCGAGGAAATTTGCCGGCTGGGCCTGAAGTTGAGGTGATGACCAAACAGATGCATAGGGTGTAGTTTCAATTTTCTTTACTTTTCTTTTCGTCGATTTTTTGGGCTTGTAAAGTCGAGGGGTTTTTCCGGTTCAACACACAGATCACACCACACTGCTATTTAGTATATATCATTCTACATGATTGTATATACTCTCTTACGTCTCATTGCCAGAAATAGATATAGAAATTTTGTTGGTTTCAAAGGGTCCGCTAGGCCTTTTGGAATTGGAGAAAAGAAGGATCACATCCCACTTTTAACTTAATAATAATAATTTGTAACAGTATTGAAGCATATTTTTACTTTGAAATTAGGCAAGTAATTCAGCCGATCCTGATCAAATTGATACTAAAATGGTCAATGTGACACATCGAATCATGATACAATATATAGTTCATGTCAACCATATCTATAGAGAAGGCCTACTGTAACAACAAATTTCGTGAATTGAATTTAAAAAAAACACAAAAAATATTATTCAAATGAATTTCTTGAATCAAAACAATATAGCGGGTTACAATCTCTATTATTCCTCTGCTTCAAAGGAATTGGAATGTTCATGTCAACCATATCTATAGAGAAGCGAACTTTGCAGCTGATTGCTTGGCGAGCTTAGCAGACTCGTATCCGCTTGGTCTTCATCGTCTGGAACTCCCACCTGCCGAAATAGGCCAATGGATTGGTCACGATAATATAGGGGTGTCATATCCCCGTAGAGTGTTAGCCTAGTAGCTTTCGCCTCTCTTTCTGTACCAAACAAAATGATACAATATATAGTTATGATCCAGCGAGAATGGTCGAAATAAATTAGAATAAATCAGTACTATTAGATCCATCAAGACAAATAATGTATCTTTACCATTGGATCAATTAAGACAATAGTCATGATGAAGTTAAATTTTAATAAGCAGTAGTCAAACATGTGATACCATTTGATCGATTAAAAAAATGGTCATCAAGTTAAATTTTAAAATTTTAAAATTATATTAAGCGGCAGTCAAACATGTGATACCATTAGATCCATCAACACAATGGTCATCAAATTAAATTTTAATAAGTGACAATCAAACATGCAATGAAATTATATAGTAAATAAGGGAAGATTCGATGCTACCCCTACTGGTAGTGCCTTTACATGGGTGCTACCAGTAATTTCATTTTTGCTATTTGCCATTTAGATATTTTATCCTGTTAATTGTTTTAATTTACCGGATAAATTATCTATTTTTGAGACATACTCGTTTGAGAATCTAAAACAGATTGTCTACTTCATTCTTTTTTGATTAAAGAATTTTCTTTAACTCGCATAGAATTTCTATTTTCTATTAGAGTTTTTCCTTTAGCTATATCAATAGTCCAATGTTCTTCTAAAGGTGCTAATTCACAGAAAGTTTTTTTTCTTCTACTGAACCTACATCTGAAAAGATATCTTCTAGTTCAATATAAGATTTTTTTCCTTATAAACTATATTATGATGACTATTAGTCAATGCATAACTTATAACATATGTAACACTAAAGGCTTTGTCTTCAGGGTTCATTAAATTGTCTCTTTCAAAATAATGAATGAAAGATAAGGTTTTATCTAAATTTACAGTTTTGATAGACATTTCAAATTTAGGATAAACCGTGAAGATGAACATACCATAGGCAAGATTCCCTCTTGTTGCACTAGACATGGCCACGGGCGGCCCGGCCCGTGGCCCGACCCGTGACCCGGTACTGGACCGGCCCGGACCGGTACCGGTACCGGCATGAATAGTGCCGGGTTCGAGAACCGGACCGCAGCCAATCCGGTCCGGTTAAGGGTCACGGTTTTTTTTTTTGTCCCGGCGGGCCGGGCCGGGCCGGCCAATTTTTTTGCTTTTTTTAAGGGCCGTACCGGCCCGTGAACCGCCGGGCCGGTGAACCTGCGGTTCGGGCCGGTTCTATGAACCGGCCCTTTGTTCCTAGCGGGCCGGTCGCGGTTCGGCTGTTTGAGGGCCCGTGGCCCGGCGGGCCGGGCCGGGCCGGGCCCGGGCCCGGCACCTGGTCACGTCTATGTTGCACCTAATATGCAATCTTTTCTGTCATTAATTCTATCATCAATTAATGTCATTTTTTTATAGGAGTATCAATCCCTTCTTGAAACTCAGCTTTAAGTAAATCTTTTTTGCTCCTAGATGAATTGTTGAAATTTTACTTTTTATAGAGGACGAAATCTTTTCCTATTTTTTTAGTGTTTCTGCTTTAGTAATCAAAGGCAGATACACTGTTTCTTTAACATTTTCTTTAACATTTCTTATGTCTACACTCTACATGCAATTCTTGTGTGTTAACAAAATAAAAGATTTCATTTTTTCTTTTATAGAAATTTAACATTGGAATGTTGAAAATTTCTTCTTTTTTAAGATTTAACCTTGATTTTTGAATCTTTGTTAAAACATCATGTTATATTGCTAAAGCTAGCTTTAAAACCTTTTTCATTTTCATGAATTTTGTGAAAGATCACTATTAAGACATAGATCTTGTTCTATATCTCTGTTCTCGTTATCTATATTGGAATTCATATTCCAAACAGGTTTTCCATCTGTCTTCACCATAAGATGGGATCACGAATACTGGTATTCCTCATTTTGAATTTTAATTCCGTATTGAAAGACGAATTCAGAAAATATTGATCAAAATATCTATTATCCAACAGGATTTTTATTTGTTACCAGGCTCTGATATCAAGATTTTTAAACGTGCCGATTCCCGTGTGGAATTTTCACAGAACGAAAAGAAACGTCGAGCTGATGGGTTAGTGACAGGGTGGCGAGCTCAATGAATACGGCCAAAGATAGCTGATTCTACTCTTAGATTGAGTTATTTCTACTCAACCATAGTGGGGACACCAGATGATATGAAAACCATACTGGATCATGACGACTTAAAGAACAGTTCGACTGGGTTAGATGAACCGGTAGGTCGACCAGACTTCAAGGATACCAGAGGTCGAGAAAGCTCCAGGTCGAGGGCAATTTTACAAGTAAGTGAGCTCGCCAACATGTCAAGATAGGGCTCTCGGCTAGCCTGATATAAACTCGCCCTAGAGGTCTGCAGATCTACGACCGAAAAGGTAGGGTTGTCCGCTGAAGGACAGAGCAACCTGGTTCAAGGGAAGCCGAGTTAGTATCACAATTAGACCACTTAATGAAGTATGCTAATGTGAACACTACATAAAAAATAAAAAGGAGCATAATTAAGATAAAAAGAACACGTGGATAGGACCATGGTTTTAACAGAATTGGGAAGTTTGGGCACCCGGGTAGTACGAATGGATAACACGGGCAACCAAGTCGAGTTGTATTGGACATCAAGGTAACATCCCTATATAAAGGTATGAAGTATGCTCATTTACACTCTACACACTCTAATATACATACAAGTTATATATAGTTCATATTGTTCATCATCTTCTTCATCACTATTTGCTGACTTGAGCGTCATAACTTCTACGTCAGGACAACTTCAGACGTTGTTTAACAGGTCTTTGAACCGATCGAGAGCAGATTCAAGGTCATTCGAATCGGCTGAGATCGTCTGCACTACTAGAATATTAAAACAATAACTCATTGTATAGTTTTATTTGTCTAGAGCATTACGAAAACCCATATATATTGACCATAAATTTGATTAATTCAACCATCTAATAACATGTTAAATTAAATACAATATTTTAAAAATTCTATCTCATCCCGTTTTGCCCCAAATCAGAAGAAAAACTTGGTCGATTAATTTTTCAGTCATCACCTCCCCTCCACCGGCACTTCGCTCCCCACCCTTTGGATTTTGGTCCTGGGCCAAAGTTGCGTCACTAGCGGGCCGATAGTCTGCTGCTGCGGCGCTTCGCCATCTCCCGGTCGGCCACAGCGGGTGGTCGGGACGTGTTGGCTCGCGGGAGATGGTGTCGAGGCGGGCTCCAGTTGCTGTTTGGCGGCGGCTGGGGCTGAGACATGTATTTGGTTTCGACTTCTATTCCTCAGCTTGCCCTGGTGTTGGGTTTTGGATGGGTTATCCGGTGGCGGCTCTAAACTCAGTTCGAGCGGGATTGAGGCCTTCAGATGGTGTTGCGAGTGGGATTGTGGCCATCGAGTGGTGTTGGGCGGTGGAGTTAGACGCGGGTCTACATATGTTGTACTATTGGTGGCCACTAGGTAGGTTGTCATTTTGTTTGGCTGCGTGTGGGTTGTAATAATATTTTATATATTATTCTATTATTGTGGACCATATAATTAATTAGACCTAATTGAATTAATAGTCAAACTTTATTAAAGACGAATATGTATTTAATAGATTATTTAATGTTCTAATATTAAAGAGTC